CCCCAAAACCCCAAAACCCCAAAACCCCAAAACCCCTCTTAAAGCCTATGAGCTGAAAGATTAATTAAAAATGAATATATTATTCAGTATCTTGCACTTTCCTTTTCTAGGACTTTTCTTTCTCTCATCAGCTTCGACTGAGAAAGGTCTTCTTGGGAGACATCTGGATGGGAAGTAGCTTAATTTATCCTTCTCTCTTTTGTATAAAGGAGTTTGTCTAGGTCACAAATTAAAAGTCACAATTCAATTATTCCGTTCTTTTGAAAAACAGTTGCGGCTCCTCGCTCTGGCAGTCATGATTTTTGGCCGTGTCTTTATCTGTCTTGATTTTGGCTTATTTAGGCTCAGCGTCAGGTGAGAGTTTTAAGGCTTTCATATCTTGTCTCTTAACAACTCTTGAAGATTTACTGACTTTGACTCTCTCTATTGAATCAAAACCAGAAGGCTCCTTGTTGATATTATTTTTGTCCCTGGTCGTTGATTCAAAGGCAAATGCTTTCGGCTTTGTCACAGCGAGAGGAGGACTTTTGTCAATCACCGGGCTTAAATCAGTATGTCTTCATAGTTCAGACTGCCATTGGAAGAAGAGCTTATCTGATATTTTGTCTGTATGGAAGTGTCTCTTGCTTTGTCTCGATCTCGACCTTGCTGATAAGATTTTTGTCCCTGTAGAAATTAGTTTTGAAAATTTGAGTACCTAATTTTAAGCAAGTTGGATTATTTTTGTGCTTTTTATTTATCTCAAGAATCTTCCTCCATGGGCTGATGCTTTTCTTGTGCCTCCTGAGTGTATTTGAACTATCAGAGATATCCTTTGCGTTAAGAGTTCTGGTAAATTTGTACTCTTTGCCGAAATTTGTGCTTGCTGGTTTTGTGTTGTTCATGAAGGGCTTGCCTTGAGAATTGAAGTTTTTCTGTTTTAGGTTAGTTTCGGTTCACGGAATTACAAGGTATTGTTAAGCTTGGTACTTACAGAGGGTTTGAATGCATACACGTTCTCATCGCTATCACTTATGGAGTTGTCATCAGAATCGGCTTCCATCTGCTTGAGAGTTCTCTGGGTTTCTTTGTTGATCTATAAGTTTAAGACTTTTTTGTGATGAAGATTTTACACTGATGTTTCTGAATTTGACTTGTCGATGTGATTTATTCCCAAACATAAATGGTCCTATAGAATGTTTAATAGCTAGGTTTGGATGCTTAAAGTGCCAATTGACTTACTTGATGCAAAGCCGATATTTGACATTTAAATATTACAATAATTCGTTGATTAATAGGGGTTTTGGGGTTTTGGGGTTTTGGGGTTTTGGGGTTTTGGGGTTTTGGGG